GGCAAGGGCAGTCTGGGCTCGGGCGTCATTGGCGTGGTGCAGCAGGACGAGGCTGCGCCCGCGGTGGTTGCGAAAGCGGCGGACGTGCAGAACGAGGCTAAGCCGGCGGTGGCGCAAGTGGCGCGGGACGAGGCTAAGCCGGCGGTGGCGCGAGAGACGGAGGCTCAGGCCGAGACTAAGCCGGCGGTGGCGCGAGAGACGGAGGCTCAGGTCGGCGGCGAGCACGGAGGCACAAAGCGAGGCCGAACCAGTGGCAGCAGCGGAGGAGGCGGTGACGGGGACCAAGCCAGCGCCGGTGGCGATCCAGCGGGAAGCGTCGGAGGCGAGGTTGCCGTTCGTCAGTGGTGGCGTTCCGGCGACGTCGGAAGCGACAGAAACGGCGTGTGCTTGTGCGCTTGGTCGCGGCGGCCGATGCGCTGGAGGTGGTTCTGCCCGAGGTGTACGCGAAGTTCGCGGATCGTTTTGAACCGAGCGGACCCAAGAAGCTGCCCGTGAGCCGACCTGGTTTTGATGCGGTGATCCGTATTGACCCGTCCAAGCAGCTTAGGTGTGACCCGAACCGCAAGTTTGGCCGTAGCAAGGAGGAAGCCCTGAGGAAGTACGTGGAGGACGGCCTGAAGACTGGCATGATTGTGGAGTCCGAGTCCGCGTTCTGCTCCCAGCCCATGTTCGTCAAGAAGGGTGATGGCTGGCGCGTCTGTATGGACTCCCGGCGTCTGAATGAGGCGACGATCAGGGATCGGTACCCGTCGCCTGATGCCTTGGCGCTGATTGACAAGCTGAAAGGCGCGAAAATTTTCAGCAAGTTTGATCTCACGAGCGCGTTCTGGCAAGTGAGATTGAGCGCCGACAGTGAGAAGTACACGGCGTTCCCGTGCGACGGCAAGCTGTACCAGCACAGGGTCATGTGTTTCGGGTTGGTCAACGCGCCGGCGATGTTCCAGCGTCTGATTAATGAGGTCATGGGCCCGCTGTCCGCTTTCGCTGGAGGGTACTTTGACGACATTATTGTGTTCTCCAAGACGCCGGAGGAGCACGAGCTCCACGTGAAGCAGATGCTGGCTCGGCTGAGGGAGTTTGACCTGTACGTCTCCTTGAAGAAGTGCGTGTTTGGCACGTCGAGTGTCGACTTCTTGGGGCGGCGGGTCAGCGAAGCCGGAGTGGCGGTGGATCCTCGCAAGGTGCAGGCGGTCCTCAACTGGAAGCCGCCGACGGACGCGACTGGTGTGCGTGAGGTCAACGGCCTCGCGTCCTTCATGAGGCGTCATGTGCCGAACTATGCCGAGCTGGCGCGCCCGATGACGATGCTGACGCGGAAGAATGTCCCATTCGTCTGGTCGGCGGAGTGCGAGAAGTCGTTCCGCGCGATCCAGCAGGCGCTCGTCCAGGCGCCGGTGCTGGCGTACCCCGACACGTCGCGGCCGTTTGAGATTTTCTCGGATGCGTCAGATCTCGCGTTGGGTGGTGTGCTGATGCAGAGGTCGGAGTCCGGCGACGGTCTGCATCCGGTCGCCTACTACTCGTGCGTGTTCACGAAGCCAGAAATCAACTACTCGGTCTACGACAAGGAGCTGCTGGCTATCCTGGAGTGTCTCCGCGAGTGGCGACACTACGTTTGCGGTTCTGGCAAGATCACCGTTTGGTCGGACCACAGGAATTTGCAGTGGTTTACGGAGACGCGGGAGCTGACGGCGCGCGAGGCTCGGTGGTGCGAGATGCTGGGCGAGTTCGATCTGGTCATCAAGCATCTGGAGGGCTCCAAGAACGGTGCGGCGGATGCGATGTCCCGTTCGGCGTCGGGAGCTGGGCCGAAGGAGAAGCTTAAAGGCCGGGTGTTGGACCCCGAGTTGTTGGTGGCCCCAGTCGCTGGCGGGGCCGATGACGAGCAGAGCGAAGATTTCGTTTTCTCGCCCGGGGCGACTCTGCCGAGCGCGCCTACGGTCATGACGCCTACTGCCATTCGCGAGGCTTTGCAGAAGGCGGTGGCCGAGGGGGAAGAAGAAGGAGTAGAGCTTCTATCCTCCAAACGATACCAACTTCACGACGGTCTCATCAAGCGCGAGGACCGAGTGTTCGTCCCAGAACATTTACGCCCACAGATCCTGCGATACCGCCATGACGCAGCGACAGCGGGTCACTGCGGGAACCGAAAGACGCTTGAGTTGGTTCAACGCGACTTTGTCTGGCCTGTGTCATGCCCCACTGGCATGCCTACTTACTTGCATGCATTACCTTGTATTGTTTGTCATGTCTCCCATACTGGGAATGGTTCATTCGTCAATATACCTTTATTCATGAACATTGCCTGACAATCGACGTACCTTTGCACTGACTCTGACACAACCACACCAAAAAACGTCCATATGCAACTGTCGCTTCTGTCGTCGAGGAATTCCCCGCGATGCAACAGCGCTTCGAGGCGCACTTTGGAGTGGGGCAAACTGTTCCCATAGAGGTAGATCCTGCTCTCTCGGGTCCGCCACCGCTCGTATCCGAGCCAGCTGCCATGGAAGTGGATGACTACGGTGATGACTCTGGCGACATTTCTCGAGACTCAATGGTAAGGGTTGCCGCGAAGCTCGCAACGAGCGGTGCGAGCACAAACAGTGATCCTTCTGTTCTTCTGTTCTTAGGATGTCGAACGCGACAATGACAATGATTACGAAACGGAAGACGAAGCTAACGAAGCTGACGTTACTGAGAACGATGCCACGAACAACGCCACGAGCGAGCCGACTGCACCACCGGCAGCGCCCGAACCCGAACCACAACCGACAAGCCCTAACGATCGCCTGGCTGCTGCATACCGGCTTCTTATCCAGTCTCTGCATAGCATCAAAGATAAAGTCACAAAAGTTGTCTTCATCAACATAAACGCCTGGAATCCATCAACTGGCCTTCCTTTGTTATGCGGAAGCCTCGACAGTGCACTGTCTACCACAAGTCGTACAATGCCGAGGAGATGCTCAACTTCGTCCTGGTTTGCGGCAAGCACATCTTTCTGGGATTGGTGACCAAGAGCGTGCAAAACATCTGGTGGAACTTTTCAGAAATGACGCGAATCGCCATGTCCACGGTGGTTCAGGTCGACAACGACTCGATTGCCTCGCTCGCGAAACTGTCAAACGAGACCATCAAGAGCGTTGCTGCAGTCTTTGGGACTTGTAATGTGCCCATTACTACCCACCATCTGTCCCATCTGGCC